GGGGATTTAAAATCCAGGCAGCCAAGGTGCTTAGGGCCAGGGTTTAGTGGTGGGATAGCAGGGTTAGGGAAACGGTTGGGCTTGATGGTCTTAAAGGGCTTTTCCAACCTAAACAATTCCATGATTCTAAGGGAGGAAGACTTACTGCAGCTGGGTGGCAGCTTTGCAGCTGACGAGCTGGGAGTCTCAGAAAATAAATACGAAGTGGTTCAGGGTGGGCGATGCTTAATGATGAGATACTTGCTCGCTTTGTCTTCTTGCCCATCAGATGCTACAGGAGCTGTTCAGGAATTGCCAGTCAGGCTTGCACAGGGGAGGGATTTAAAAGAAGGAGAGATGAGGTGCTTAGGGCCAGGGTTCAGTGGTGGGATGGCAGGGTTAGGGTAACAGTTGGGCTTGATGATCTTAAAGGGCTTTTCTAACCTAAACAGTTCTATGATTCTATTTGCACACACAATTTGCGTATCTTCACACCTCCTGGGGAGCAGTCGTCTACAGCATGATACTAAGTACCTCTATTAAACCATAGTGACATGTCAGCCTCCCTGCAAAGGTGCCGCAGTGAAAGCCAGAGGAAACACAAACACAAAAGTTCCTGATCAAGAGGTTTAGTTGATGGAATTTCCTTTCTTTGAAAGGATCCTTAAGGTTCCTGCCCTGCTCTTCCCCATCCCTTCACACCAGAGAAAAGCTCACCTGTGCCACAACCCATCCGCTCCTGCTGACACAGTGCCTGCCTCGCCCAACTGCGAGGGGAACTGCCCTCATAACTACACATTTTGCAGCTATCTTAGTAGGGATCTTGTAACAGAAAGACTAGTGGCCCAGTATCCCACACACACTGCAGCGCTGATACACACCATCATCTTCACTCCTCTCCCCAGTCAGCTCTACCGATTCTGAGAGCGAAGCCAGAGACGTGCGCCGCGATGAGGCTGCCGAAGCAATGCTGGGCTGCTTGCTACCAGGAAGACGGCTGACCCAGTGCTCACAGAGCGAGGAGCTTGTGGAGCCTGCAAGGAATCAGGCGTAGACATCAGGCCAGCAGCATGCAACTGCAGAACACGTGAAACCTTGGAAAGCCGCTGAGAGTCAGGCACCTACTGCACTGCACTGGCCTTGAGACACACCCGGAGTCTGGAGCTGGCCCGCACAGCCATAGTATCCAGATACTGCCAGGAGAATAAGTCTTTACTCTTGTGAAATAGTTATGGTCATAAGTAAAAGACAGAATTGCATTTGTCCCAATATGCTGTGAATGAAAAGAATCAGCGTGGCACGCAGGCAGAGGGCAGTCCTTGAGCTGCCACAAAAATGCAGTGCAAGTCCTTTCCTTTCTGAAGGTCAGTCGCCAAGCCTGCATCTGCCCCAGCTCACCCTGGATTCAACCAACACGTTCAGCTGCTGGCTGCCTACCTGAGACCAGTGGCACTGCTGGAGGGAACGAGCTAGTTGCCTTTTTATGTCATGGTTTTGACACACACAGCTCTGAGCAGAATTTTCCATGGGGGTAGAGGGGGTGCCCCCCATGTCCACAGCCTCTTTGCCACAACAAGCCTTAACAGAAGTGGTGGGAGTTTCCCACAGCCTCTGATGCACAGCAGACAACTGAGACAAGCCTCACCGAGTGCTGGGACAGAGAGTTGGGGCTGGGTAGAAAATTCTTCAGGAGGACAAACTATCCATGGAAGACCAACTACAACCATTCCTTGACAATGCCAGCAGGGCTTACCTGCCACAGAGCTGTTAGCAGACCATGATGGGATTGCTGTGCGTCTCTGGTAGAAAAGAATATAAGCTGTCTGCTTGCAGACTTCGTTTTCAGAAAGCTGCTGAACGTCACTGTCATCAAAGCAGTACCACTGGCCGTCAACCGAGTTTTTGCAATATGCTGAGAGAAAATACATTACTGTTAGAATTCCCTCACTCCTACTACTCTCAGGTTTGCTATATGATAACTTAAACATGACCTTATCTGCTATGATGGACTCAGAGGAGAATGAAAGGAACAGGCTTATTCATGCAACGCATCCTCTTCCAGTCTGACTGGCAAGATGGGGGCCTGAGGGCACCAGAATACAATAAACAGCTCATGTTTCAGGATTTTCTTTGTCCAACATTACTGCTCAGAACAGAACACCATTTGGGATAGCTCCACTCACTTCACGTTCTGTTACTGGTGGCAGTCTACCTCCATCAGTGAATCTCCTTCTGACTGAGCCCACCCAGGACAACACAGCCCAGAGACATGCATCAGAGGGCAAAACTGGACACAACACACGTTTTCTGGTCTGCTGTGTGAAGTCATACAGATCCTAAGAATCACCGAGCAACTCTGTCTATCTCTGGCTGCTCTGGGAGCTGCTGGAACAAGCAAAGAGGAGCTCATAAAGTGGCTGTGCACATAGGTAATGTGCAAATACTTCCCATGTACAACAGCCTCTTGCAACTACAGAACTTCTGCGTTGAGTGGCCAGGAGCATTTCTGAAACACGAGAAGCCAGTTACATTACTCTGAAGGAAAAAAAATATAGCAGAGAAAATGTACAGTAAGACATTTGGGGTCAACAGGCCTTGTTCCATTCCTCAAAGTCAGAAAAGTTACCCCTCTGGTATTACATAGCCAGCCCTTGTTAGTTGGGTTAGGTCCTTTTGTCAAGAAAGACGAAGTAATTATGGACACTCAACAGAAAAATATAACCATTTTCTTTCTGAAAGGGTCCAACATACATAATACGGGCAGGATACTTGCCTGTATAGTGTCCCCCTTGCATGGTGCCATGATGATTGCAGACAGCATACAGGTCATAGATGTAGTCCTCAGGATCCCTTCCAAGACCATAAGGTCTCCTCCAGGGTGACCAGTGAGATGGCAGACTCCAGCTGCTCTGACTGCGTTTAACAACATGAGGAGTCATGTCCAAGCCACTCAGGGGGAATTTAACCATGTTTTGAAGTTTCATCCTTCGGTCTCCTTCCTGTGTAAACAGAGAATGGCATGAGCTGCAGTGGCAGCAAGGCCACCATGCTCAGGGCAAACAAAAACCCAGGAGAGGAATGCACAGGGCAGAACAAACAGCTGCTTCTGAAGACGTGGTCTAGTCAGGTCACTCCCTGGCTGAGAAGCAGTCCTCCAGCATCACGGCAGACATCCTTACCTGTCTAAACCTCTTGAGATGTATGATGAGAACATCAGGTAAGGTCCAGAGGCTCAGTGTGATGCTACCCTGCTGCAGCTGCTTGCAGTGAGGGCATCGCCACGCGTCATCTGGGGCAAGCTACAAGGAAGAGGCATGAGTGGGTACTAGTTTCCAAATTCTAAGACTTTTACTCCACCACTGTTCCTCTGCTGCCCCAGGCCCAGTGCAGACGCTGACCCCTGCACCCCATCTACCTCCAAGCATTTATCAAGCTCATTGGGAATGCAGGGTTCCAAATGACACTTTTCAAAATAGTGACAAGCAGAGAGACGTGCACCTCACGCAGGAGGCACTTCCCACTGCAAGACAGGATTCAGCTAGTGCTGCTGTGCAGAGAAGTGATTTCAACCTTATAAACCCCCAATCCCTTTGAAGTGGGGGAGAAGCAAAAACAAAGGCAAAAAGCAGGCAGGCTTGGCAGCCTGAGTAAAAGTATTCTCACAAGAAAACCAGCAACAAAGAATCAGAACAGGTGTACTTCCAATTTCATCTGACACCTCACTGCCCTCTGGAAACCCTCTTCCTCCCTATGTCCCAACGGCACAGACTTACAAACTGCAGAGATTTTCACTGTCCACCAAGGAGAACGTGTCTTTTCAAAGAGACAAACATGGCATGCACTTTCCTCCGCAGCCCAGTGCTCAGAACACCCGGAAGCCAGAGAGCTTTAAGCTGTCAAACAACTTTTCCCTCACCTCTGAAAGAAGGGACAAGAGAGGCTCCCAAATCATTAAAGTTCAATCACGGGTCCGCAGTTCACCTCTAGGACCATCCCTTTTTACAGCACATTAGAAACCGCTGGCAAAGAAATGCAGATTGCTTACATGTTCGAGGCAAGGGCCAGATCAGACCCATCAACCACTCCAAGACAGAGCAGTAAATTCCCATGAAGCAGCCACGCTGTTCTAACCCTTTATAACATATGCCAGAAAAAGCCATTGCTGTTGCAGAACAGTGGAGTAAGTTCTCATATCAACATTGGGGGGGGTGGAGGGGGAGGGGTGGGGCAAAAACCCAAAAGCAGTACCTCCCACAACCTTCTCCTCACTGCAGAGAAACTCTGTTAGCAGGGCTGGTAACTAGCATCGTGTTACAAATTTATTCTCCAGTCTCCACAGACCAGCGTTCGCAGAAAACAGCTACTCTGCTGAGCGTGGGGGTTCGGGCAGCGTGTGGACCAGCCAGACCTCCCGAGTCTTAGCCGCTATAAAGTCTTGTCCCTACCTGTTCCTCTTTGGTGTACAGTTGGAAACACTGAGATAAAGTGCAGGTCTGAGGTTGATGATGAAGCTCTCTCTGCTGGCGGACGCTTTCAGAATCTGGAATATACTCCTCTTCCGTATTCACAAACAAGCTGCATCAGGGAGACAACGCATTCACCAGCACATCCACCCACTCTCTGTGCTGCTGAGGAGCCATCCAAAGTACCAACAACAGCTCCTTCCTGGATTTGTCCCATTGCATGTGAGCGAGAGCTGGCTGGCAAGAGATCCCACCAGGGCCACACAACTGAACACAGTGTCAATGGGCCCCCACTCCAGTTTATCTCAGGCAGAAAAAGCTACTCAATGCCCACCAGCTTTCTCACACAAATGTGATTTGTGGGGGAAGGAGCCACATGCAAGATGCCTGTGCCATAATGCAGAACCCTGACTACAGGGAAAAGGATCCAACTCTGAGCAAGTCTAGTGCACCCAGGGACCAGGGCAGAGAGGTCTCACATTTGCTGAAGGGTGCACAATTTGCATGGAGCCAAGCTGGCCACAAGCATCGCTCTCACAGTGAACACACTTTAACAGGTCAGTATGGAATCAAGACGATTTTTATTACTTGTATGAAGGCATCAAAGAGCAATTACTTTAAGGTTTTCTACTTCATACTTACTAATCTTTAGTTTCTTTGTCCCATTCTACCACTAATTTCACATGAGCAGTTCCCCCCTGTCCACATGACTTCAATGCCCTGGAGAGAGGAGCAGACAGAAGTTAGACCACCTTTCAGTCTGAAGCCTCTGTTATCTTTTACATGCACGTAACTTCTCTCCACTGGCCCTTCATCCTTCCTCCGCTCCCACACAGCTCAAGTTTGCAAAGGAGTAAAAGGAATTCATACAGCCAAGAACATGGCAAAGCTGGCAAACTGCATTTACCTAGGTACATTAATTCTGTAAATAAATGTACACTTATTTACAGAACAGGCATCTACAAAAAAATTGTAAACATAACAGCAGTCACTAAAAAAAAAAATTAAAAATGGGGGAGTAATGCTGTCATTCTCTTCTCCATTTCCACACCAAGACTGTTCCTTTCTGTACAGGTACAAATTGAGTTCCCAGCTGACAAACCTCTCTCCACTCCTGGGAACGAGGACTAACCCACCTTTCCACTGTTGGATGGCAGAGGGGACGCTCCTCCTGAGGTAGCAAGTACGTTATGCCCACAACACTTACCACTCGCAAGCTGAATGGGCAAACCTGCAAGGAGAGCAGAAGCCATCTCAGTGACTCAAACCCAACTTACCTATGTGCAAACCTGCCCTCAGCACCAGCACGTTAGCCTAGACTGTGTGTTTTACATGATAAAGGAAATCCACAAGGTCTCAGATATGTCTACACTAAGCAGCTAACAGAGGGATGAGGTACAGCAACTGAGCCTTTGTACCCAACAGCTCCTCTACGGTAACCAGAGAAGACACCCTCTGCTCTCAAAGGGAGTTCTCATCAGAAACACGCAGTCACTAAGCAAACATTTCAGCTTTTTTTTTTTAAGCAAACACCACCAAGCAGTGGATTTCCAGTGCCAGACAGCAGCACTAATCTCTCAAGTATTTCTTGGGGGTAAGGAAGTGAAGCATGCAATTTCTTCACCTGATAAGTTCAATCTTACTTCTGCCTTTCACCAAATAAACAAAATCACTAAAGAGGTAGAATACCAGATTTGGACATAATTGCACAAAGAAGTATCGGGAAGCCATCAGTTCAGTGTGTGCAGCAACCAGCTTCCCCTTTAGTTCACATCACACAGAGCCGGAGGTCTCAAAACAGATGAACCATTTGCCTCACCTGCAGGCAGGCTGCAGGCCGCAGGAAATACTGCATCTTCTCCAGAATTTCCTTCTGCAGAATATCCCAAGCAATTGTTTTCTCCAGATGCAACACAAAGGGCAAGCCAAACCTACAGGAAGGAATAGCATTCAAGGGAGCAATTAAAAGATCAGTCTGTTCAGCAATCAGATCCCTGAACTCTGACAGTGCCACTCAGCCCCTCACTCGGCGCCTAGAGAGCTCAGAGCATCAGCTTTGGATGAAACCCCCCAGAAACCAGGCATTTAAAAACTTGTCTCCAGAGGAGAGGTGCTTAACCTTGAGGAAACGCTGTTACAGCTGCCCATGCAGAGGACGCTTTTTAATGGGCTGCAGCCCCGCTCTGTGCTCAAGTGGCTTGCTTCAAGCTGCAGAGCTTTGCAACCTGGCTGGGACAACTTTTTGTGAAACAAACTTCAGCGGCTGACATAGTTCTCAGCCTACAGTTGATACAAATGCCTTTGCCATGGTCATTTCTCACTTCCCCCCAACCCACTGTTTGCACTCCAGTTAAAAATTTCCACACATCACAGGATCTGGTCAGACACGTTTGCTGCTCCCTAAAAGCAGACAGCTCTACAGAGAGGCAGTACGTCCTTCCAACTGGTCTGCATTCACCACTTTCCAGTAACACTGGCCTATTTGAAGTTCACCAAAATTGGGAAAACATTTCTGCATTCATCAATTTTTTTTTTTTTGAATCAACACGGTTTTTAGCACCTAACGCAAACTAGGAATGTAAGCTGTCGCGCTTCACCTTGCGTTTTCACCATGCAGTGAAAAAAACCCAGGTAAATTAAGAAAGCAGCCCAAAGAACAACTCTAACTGAAGCTGCCAGTCACCTTCTGCTCTGCTGTCCAGTGCACGCCCTGTTACACACCAGCAAGACAATCTTGTCATTTGCTGCTGGTTTAGTAGAGGACTGTTCCAGTTTTCCAGACTTCACTGTTCCTTGAGAGTAAGATATTGTTCGGGAGCGCTCAGTGCCACATTTCAAGTTATTCAGGTTATTGTTCACATGTATTCCTGAAAGATCAGAACAAAGGAAACATTTTGTTAACTTGGTGCCCTGATGCCCGTCCCCCCCAAGAAACCCTCCTTGGGCTGCAGAGGAGCAGGTCAGCATGGGTCAAGACCATTTTTATTACGTGTATAAAGGTGTCAAAGAGCAATTACTTTTCAGAGTGAGTAGTTCTTTACAGAAAGAAATTATATGCAAATGTTGACCTCACTGATTTTTCACAGTGATTTCGACAAGTACTCGCAGCTTTGTCTACCCACAAGAAAAGCTGAAGGGACAGAAACCCTACTTGTTACTTCCAACAATAAAATTTGCCTTTGATTACGCTCCATCTACCCAGGATGCAATTATTCCCTTTCACTGAGAGGGAGATGCAGAGAAGCTGAGAGTTTTTTCAGCTTTGAAAGAGAAAATGTTTGTTCATTCCTGAGACTGTTCATTCGTCACTGGCAATCTGATTTTAAATAACAGAATTTCAGTGGCTTCATCTGGTCCCTAGCAGATCTTTAAATTAAGCCTGACAACAGATTTCACATTCAGCCAGCCTGGCCTGCAGAATCAGCCCCAGGAAGAGGAAGAAAGGAGTGCACGTCACTTCTTGATAACCTCCTGGCTGACAACACCATTAAGTCTGCTGGAATGAGTCTGGACAAAATCAGAGTTGAAATCAATGCACCAGAACATCAACTACTTGTGGGACTTTCATTTTCAAGTACATCCTTTTCCCAAACCAGCCTCCCTCACCTAGTGACCCAGAGCGGGCACTAAACAGAGTTATCAACTTACCTCTCTGACTAAGAATACCCTCAGGCCTAAATATCTCCGGGGTCTCAAAGGCAAAAATGCAGTCGCTTTCATGAATGGTGTCCAGGTCATCAGTATCACAGAAGGAACGATGAAACCCATCGTAGTACATCTCTGTCAGCACAATCTAGAGCCAGCAGAAGCAAACCAGAACCCATTAAACCCCCCATGCCTGGTCCAGCTGAGCTGCCCTGTCCCTTGAGCAGGATTTTCCTGCTACAAGAGAACATTCCTCAAAATATCTTGGCATCAGCCAGGAGCAAGAAAGAGGGAAAAGGACTGATGTAAAGGAGAAGCTGGGGTAAAGGTGGTATGAGGAGAGGTTTTGGTGGGATACGACAACTTTCTTGAAGCTCTTGCTACAGAAGAATTCCTCACAGGTGCCCAATGGTTCCCTCACTGCCAGCATGCATGAATCACCAGGTGCTCATGCAGGTCTGCACGCTCCACAGATGGCAATCCCAACATCACCAGGCTTCAAAAGGGCAATGCACAGGGAAAGGCATGATCCAGATCATCACCACCCTGCTTCCCTCATTCAATCACAGGCAGCAAATGTCAATTCCTACATATCCAACATGGGGTGAAAGCCTCCACACTGCCTCCCGCTGAAGGTGGGGCACGCGGGTGATGAGACCAGCCCATTACCTGCTCCGTGGGTATCTTGGTCTCTGAAGAAACAGCCTCCCGCAGCCTGGCCACCGTTCCAGAGATGGGCACTGCCACCCCAATCCGCATGCAGTGTGAGCACTTCCCCTGGTACACCACGGTGACGTAGAGAGGCCTGCGGAGAGCACGAGAGGCACTGCTGGGGCTGGGCTGAGCACTCCCTGGCAGTACCTTGAACAGAGCCAGCCTGACCCGAGTGCATCCAGGCTGCCCATAAGCTACAGGACCATCTTGGCAGTCTGGATCCACCTCACACTGGAGTTGTGTTTGGCTGCAGCCAGCTGAATATGTTTGATTTCCAAAGACTCCTTTCTTACTACATGGACTGGTGTTACTTGTTTCTACAAGCAGAAAGCCTTCTCTAAAAAACCCCACAAAGTCAAAACTAAAACTTACTATTACAAGGCCATTGTAATTTTCCAACAAGGATCCTGTAATGCAGCTTAGGACAGCCTGAGGCAGCATCTTAAAGCACTCGGAGAGACCCGCTGCTAGGAAGAGCTGCTCCAGGTTGTCTCTCAACACATTCCCTGGAAAGCCCACTCAGCCTCCACTTGCTGGTGGAGCAGGGACTTCTGAACCAAATGTGACACTGTCACGTTTAATACATTCTTTCATTACTTTGTTCCATTGCTTCTTGAACCCATACAAGTTTTCTGCATTCTAAACAACGGGTAATTTTGCTGTGCATCTCTTCATCTTTGCTCTGAACTTTTTTTGTCTGGATTTTTGTCTCCCTGGAGCTTTTTTCTTTATTGGCAACAGCTGTCTTTCAAAAAAAAGCAAACCATTTTGCAGGCAAGCTTTTAACTTCACTTTTGGAAACTGGAGTGATCAGTGAGACTGTTCTAAAGAAAGTAAAAAAAGAAGTTTCATCCTTTTCCCCTTTTTAATTTTAAAATGCTGTAAGTTAAGTCAAAAGCAAAATATTTTCATTGCCTGAATCAAAGATATCTTTCTCCCAAAAATTAATTTTCTAGGAAGTTAAGGGTGGGGGCAAAGGGGCATTCTGAAACAAGTGAAAGGCTCAATTTTCCAATTTACCTGCAAAGCAAAAAAAATAAGCCCCATATGGTCCTATCTATCTTTTTTAAAGACTTACCAGAGAGATTATGCTGACATCTCTCTTCCTTCTGTAGCAAATGAAACAGCACTGTATGCATGGGAAAACAGCCAACGTTAAGTTCACGAGAGTTACATACCGTGTATGAGGCAAAGGAATCGGCAGAGAGATGCAGAGAAAAGGGTCAAAGGTGTTACTCTGCTTCTGGCAATGAGGGCACGTCAGAGAGGACCTAGTACAAATATCAGTAATAGGAGAGAGTTACACCTCATTTTATCAGGAACGGATAATTCATCAAATTACAAACCCCAGCCTTCACATATCAACCTGGCTGCCCCTTTCTGCTCTTCTTTCTTCATACAGAGCGGCTCTGCACAGAGGCTGTATAGACATAGCTGCTGTAAACAGCTCCTGATTTCTAGATCCTTTTCAAGTAATTAGTCTCAAAGTTCATTACAGGGCATGCCAGGAAGATTCCACTCCAATCACTGAATTTGGCTTTTCATAAACATCACTGCAGAATTAATAATTCACCAACAGTAGCTCCAACATGGAAGACCTGGAAGGATTTTCTCTTTGAAGAGAAGGGAAGTGATGGGAAGGAGACAGCAACAGCACTGCAGGTCTGCAGATCTCTCTTACTCAGAAGGAAAAGCTCCAGACAACACATCTCTCACATTCAGAATTAACCTGCACCTTACACTGGCTTTGTGTTGTATACCAAGGCTTAAGGCTTCTCCTTTGCAAAGGAAGCCTTGGCAAACATCAGTGAGAAAGCCCAGCCATTAAAATTGTTATAGCAGCACAGATAAAAGCCATCGAGGAGCACTGGAAATTAGGTTTTCTTGTACTACTTCTGAAATTAGAAAGCTCCCTTCCCAGGAAGTATGGGAAACTCATGGGAAAACCTGAAAGGACAGTGAAAGATTCAACTCAGAATTCCCAAGTGCCAGATAACAGGAACTCTGCAAGATGTCCGGGATACGTAACTCCCCAGCAGCCTCCAGGCACCTCCAGATCTTGCCACGGGCTCTTGCCTCTGAACAGCCAGGGTAAACCTCACAGCACTGAGCCATCCGGAGCTTTGCTTCACTGAGCACTGACTTGCTTTCAGGATGCGTCAGGGCAGGTGAAGAGGCAGTACTTAGTGCAGATTTTCACACAATATACCAAATTAGAAGTAGTGAAACTCTCTCTTGCCTTCTAGAGCAAGATCTTAGTTCAGATTTCATTTAAACCCAGCCATTAACACAATGACACCAGTCTCAACTGTACTGGGAGCTAGCGTCAGGGTAGAATTATACTGGGTTCACCAATACACACAATGATGCCTCAAAATACCATACCTGTACTGGGCTTGAAAGAGTTCTTGCACAAAAGTACTACTGATTGGAAAGGCTGGTCCCTCAAGCAGCACATCATCCTCCAGCGGTGGCTAAAAGAGAAGAATAAACCCTAGAAGCACATCCAAGCATGGGAGTGCACCACATTAGATGGCTTCAGAACTCCTTGTCAAATGTGCGCCCTCCTTGCTGAAAATCACTAGAAAAAAGTCAGGAGACTTTAAATAACAAGGGCACTCTGCTCATAGGGGTGGTTATGCAGGAATGTGAGGCAGCTAGGGCAGCCCAAGGGAAGGCAGGGATCCCACACCAGATGATGTACCTGGCAGACCCTCCCCCCCCCATAACGCCTGCCAGCTCTTGCCAGCAGTGTGAGACCATTCACAAATGGCTGAATCGGAGGGCACTTGCCAGGGATTAGTGAAACAGCTAGTTACGTTGACAGGGCCAGAGACAAACAATATTTTAACCCAAGCTTTTGTTCCATACAGACTATCAGAGCTGAGAAGCCAACACATAGATCTAACTGAAAAAGAAAGACTGTATGCAGAGTTACAGCTGCTCTCCCACGTTGGCTCCCAGCAAAATCCCTTACCTTGAGCGAAGGCATGCCACTGTAATTCACTACATTGTTCAGATCTTCGTGGACTCTGTCTAGAAGCCAAAGCAGGAACTCCTGCGCATCGTGCTGGGCATTCCCGCGGTACTGCATAGCGTTCTTGGACACAATGTTCTGCAGGGAGACAGACGGCATTCAGCAAAAGCACAAGACTCAAGCTCTTGTCTTTACCAAGCCCTCGCAATCAGGCAGGCACTGTTAACAGCGTGTTCAAAACCAGGGCCTGCCGACAGCTCTGGATGGGGCACTGCCTTCCCGCACCACCTGGGGACAGGCCAGGATGGCCATCACATGCAGGACCCTCCGCACAGCATGAGTTAGAGGCAGCTGATGCCAGGCTAGGCAGAGACTGCCACCCGCTCTCCGGACAGGCCAGAGGGTTACGGCAGTGCTTAAGAGAGGAACTGCATCCTTGCTTAAAGAGAAATGTGTGTAGCAAACTTGGGACTCGATGAGATGAGCACCAAAACGATCAACCTACAATACTTTTAACATAGGTCAACAGCAAGGCAAGGTCACATCAATCAACTGACAATGACAGGCAGTATTTCCCATGCTAACATAGAGCAAAGGGTATTTTCAGTCATACCTATCCACGTACCACAGGGTCTGGAACTGTTCATTTCCTAAAATACACTTATTTAAGCTGAAGCAAAACAAACATTTAGTCTCCTAATGTCCACTCACCCTGTTTTCCTGCTGTGGTGAGGTAACAGTTTTCCCAAAACCTAAATGCAGATACTCAGTACTAATATAGGTGTCCAATTCCAGGAAGCAGCCAAAATCAGTACATCAGAACTGCAGATGCTTCTACAGACTGATCATCCCAATAAGCAAACTTACTTTGCATCAGACCCTCTCTTAAGCACATAAGCACTATGGTCACCATGCAGTTTTCTCCAGTAGGCACCAAATATCCACTACATACAACGTGCTCATCCTAAATACCACCTTCTATTGCCACTACCCCAAACAGAAAACTTGCTTAGGAGAGACCACTGAGCAGGAAAAGTGCAGTTTCACCAAATCCCAAAATGGGAGGGGCTGGAAGGCCCCTCTGGAGATCACCCAGTCCAACTCCCCTGCTCAAGCAGGCTCACCCAGAGCAGGGTGCACAGGACATCGTCCAGGCGGGGGTTGAATATCTCCAGAGGAGGAGACTCCACAGCCCCCCTGGGCAGCCTGTGCCAGGGCTCGGTCACCCTCAAAGTCAAGAAGTTCTTCCTCACATTCAACTGGAACCTCTTCTGCTTCAGTTTGTGCCCATTGCCCCTTGTCCTGGCACTGGGCACCACTGGGAAGAGTCTGGCTCCATCCTCGTGACACCCACCCTTCAGATATTTGTAAGTTTGCCCTGGCATTGCGCACAGTTCTGAACGACTGTCCCAGACAGCCAGACACAGGAACTGAAGCATCACCAGCACCAGAGCAGTGCGGTACCTGACGGGTGCTGCTGGACCGAACTCCAAGCAAGGGAGGACTCTGACAACCACAGATGCAATGCGCACAACTGACACTACTCTGGATACATGCTAAGAGCCAGGGGAATACAACTAATTTACTCTTGAATTTCCAGAAAAGCCATCTCTAAAGGACATGAGCACACCCAAGGGATTTGCTCAAACCTGTTTTTCTTCTGGACACAAACAGGAAGGACTTGAAGCTCACCAGCAACCAAAATCTGCACTGGTAGATTTATCCTTGCCCTGCAGCTCTGGGGACACCTTTCAGAACACTGATGCTTGCACTGAGCCCTCCAGCTGGGTCACGCACGCCCCTTCCTCAGGACGATGTCTCTGCCTCTGCCTCCTCCTCCTCCTCCAAAAGCCAAAGGGAGTCCACAGCAGGGTTTGGTAGGGCATCTTCCTCACCAACAACCAACATCAAGAAACCCTCTCTCATCTCACTTTTGCTTCCACAACACCTGAATGGCCAGCCAGCACTCATCACTGTGCACCGGGGGACACAGCACAGGTTCTGGAGGACGGGAGCCAGGCACCAGCATCTTGCATTCAGCAGGAATACTCTCTGGAGTAACGTGCCACGGTGGGATGACCCCAGCAGCTGAGCCAGGGTTCCTATCACGAGCAGCAGATGCCACCACTGTCGTAGAAAAGCCAGCACGTTCTGCTTCTTCAAGGAGGCACCAGGCTGCAGCTGGTGAGCCAGCCTGCTCCTCCTGCTGCTCATGGAACAGGCGGGACGTTCACCTAACACGTGGTCACAGGTCAGCCACCCCCACACTCCCACTCCACCAATTTTAATCACAAAGTCAATACCAGGCTTTTCCTTGTAAGAAATAGGCTCGTAGCAAAGCTCATATCAGTCGCACAGCTATTCCCCAGCCTTCTTGTGCCACCTATTACCAGGAAAAGCAATCCCATCTGGGGTGTGCTGCACCTACATCCTTCAGCACCCCTGCAGAGAGACAGAAAGCGCTCACATGGGACTCAAACTTGTTTGAGCAGGGTCTCCAAAAAGGGGCAGTGGCACTGGCAGAGACCAGACTGTACCTGCAGGGCAAGAACCACACAGGAAGGCTGCGGCCGACCAGCTGCCCCGAGGAACGCTGAGGGGACAGCAGGCTGCACGTGTGCACGCTGCCAGAGCTCCTCCAGTTCCCTAATTAGACTTTGCAACAGATTTGAGAAATGAGGTTGGGCTGCTCGCTTTATCCCTCTGGAAAACGGGGTCACCAGAAGGGGGGGTTATGAAAAAGACAGGAAAGCACTGATAAACATATACTCTATCCTCTATAATCTGTCCACCTGCCTCAAGGCAGCAAAATAAGGGAAAACAGAAATAATCTGCTCATTACATATGTGCAAGCCCTTCTGACAACAGATTTACTGCCCTCGCCTGCGCAGGCACCAGCACCCTCCCACATAAAATATGTAAGCACAGTTTTAAACAAGGAGCAGACCACGGTGAATGCTCACCTCTGCACCACACAGGCATGAGCCCAGCACACCCCTGTTCGGTGCTCACCGTCAGGTGAGCTTGGGACATGGCTGCAAGCCTATTTACTGGGGAGAAAAAGCTGAAGCAGTCTGTAGGGACTCAAAGATTAAAGGGGACCAAACAGCCTTCTCCACTCCTTGTTCCCATTAAGCAAAACAAGATCCATTGGCAGGAAAAAAGTGACAAAACATGATCCAAAAAAGTGATCTTAAGCCTCTTCAGGTATCAACCTGATACCTCTTGCCCTCCTTCAGCATAAAGCCTAGTGAATTATTTGTGTTGCACTAATTTATGAAGTTTAGCACTAACCCCTGAAAATACAGTGAACTTATTTGCAGATCCCAGTCTGACACCTAAACGCTCGACATTCACCCAGCAGGTATCAGGACAAGGTGGCAACAACCCAGAGAAGCCTAGTTCAGCCATGCTAGAACCCACTGCCCCCCAGTCATGCCTAAAGACGCAACCTTGTCATTCCACCAGCTGACATGGACTAGCCTAGACCACAGATGCTCCCAGAACCAGATCTAAACGTCCGTCAGCTGAATACCGCAGCACAGGGTCCCACTCCCACCAACTTTATTACAATCCCCGGTCTTACACTTCTCCCATTAGATTTACAGAACACACTTTTATTTTTAAGAAAGCTGGATACTAGTAGGGCCCAGCAGCAGGTCTCAAGGAGCACTGCTCCACAGAGCCAGGCCCTGCCTCGAACAGAGGCGTTGGAGCCGGTCACTATTCCAGCCCCATAACACCATGACTTGAGTCCACAATCCCAGCTAACAGTCAGCCATTGCCACCAGGATTTAGCGGGTCATCTAGAGTTAGGAAAAATTAATATTCCAAAAGATCCAAAGCATCCATAGCAAGGAGAGAAGGACAATATTGACAGCAGCTGTGTTTAGCTGGACGCACCCAGACAACAGCATAGGGAAGAACTTAAGACATACATGTGGAGACTTCCTTTGCAAACACTGTCTTTGTTCAAAAAAAATTACACTGAAAATTAATTTTAGCCCTTAAATTACCATGTCAAGTTACAAACTGAAAATCAATCACTGAAGCATGAAGCAGAGATTTTAGTCCAGTCTTAAGTGGTTACCTCACTACCTCTGTCCTCCAGAACTGCTATCTGTGCCTCCCCAGTAACACATTTGCCTTTTAATGGCCTCACCCCTCCTGCACCCAGGTCAGCAGGCCAAGGTGACAACATCCTGTACCACCACTGAGGGAGGAGGGCTCCAAAGGCAGCACAGGTCGCAGCAAGACCAAGCTCATTCTTCTCAGCAGCAAGTTGACCGAAGAGGGCCAAGAGGTGCTGAAACACAGCCCCCTCCCTGCCCACAGCAGTATGGTCCTCTCTGCACTAAGATATAAAAAGGTATGACATCATCAGGCCAGCATTAACCCTTTCCAGTCGCAAGCTAAGAGCTGGCTGCCTTACCTGGTCCAGTTTGTTCTACTGAAGTTACTCAACAGGAGCTACCACCGCACTTTAAGTCCTAGTCTAAACAGAGTTGAAGATAAAAGGGTCTTCGGTATTGCCAGGAGGAAGAGAATCTGGCATTTCAAGTAAAAAAGGGGATGGGGGGGGGCATGAGGTTCTGTATGGAAGCAAGCGTGAGTAAGGACTTCAGGAATCCCAGGCTAGTATTTCTTATTGCCTCCCTCTCAGTGTCACCAGCACATCACACCAGTCCAGACACTCTCTGGCTTTTACTGATGTGCATTCCTACAGCGAGCCGCACAAGCCCCTAACACCCCACAACAGAGCGAACCCCAGGGATAAGCAACACCCATGTGCCTTGGGCTGTATCTGTGTCATTCCTTGTCTCAGAAGCATCTCCAGGATAACTGTTCTGGTTTCCTCGACACTCTCGCAGCCTGAGTGGACCAAGGATAAAGAACTGCCTGTGGAGACAGATCACAAGATGTTGGAAGTGATTCAGGAAGCACTACAAAATATCAGATGCAACTCCCTCACAAGAGGCTCTGCTACAAAAACACTCCAGCAACAGCAGCGTGTTCCCAGCATTACTCACGCTTCCTGCCAGTGCTGCTACAAGTGGGTTTGTTATGACTTAAACCTCTGCATCTGCTGCTCGGTGAAATGCTATGTGCCTTCCTCCCGTACGCTCCGAGGTGCTGGG